TATGTCACAGAACGAACCCGATCAAGCTTCTTACAACCTGCACGTCGCTCGTAAAAGTCCTGTTATCCTTTTTACGAAACCACACGCGTATAAATATGTCAGCAGTGCCATAACAGAGCTGACAGTGGAACAGTGCGAGCTACAAAATAGCCAAACACTTGAGCCGGGAGATTCTCGGGCTACGACCGGAAAGGGTTAACAGAAACAGTAGGGTAAAGTTGCCTAATACGAGATCCATTTCTTGAAGAAGTCACAACTGTCGACTAAGAACACTTTTATTAAAATTCGATACGTGTTTTAAAAGTACGACATGCATTCTTTCGTAAGGTACTGGAATGTACAGTTCGTAATAAAATAAAAAGGAAAATTAAATCTGTTTCTTCGGCACTTTGTACACTAAAAGAAAATTGGGTACCTAATATGAGACTCTTCTTATAATAGGAACTTCCGAGTAGCTTCGTTATTTAACGATGCGCAACTGGTAAGCCTTAAACTCCATTGCATGCACTGTACAACAGCTTATAATAGGAACTTCCGAGTAGCTTCGTTATTTAACGATGCGCAACTGGTAAGCCTTAAACTCCATTGCATGCTCTGTACAACAGTACAGTAAATCCTCTACAAGTGTCAGTCAGTTTGGATTCTACAAGTGTCAGTATAGATGGTCCTACGCCTAGGCTGCGTTATTGCTGCGCCTATGTTATCTCGCCCGCTGTTAGTAAATTCTCCACAAGTGTCAATCCGCGAGGAAGCTAAACCTGACACTTGTAGAGTCAGGGACTACGTTTTCGAGTTGCTACGTTTTGTAGTTTGCCGAACGTAGACAAGGACAGCGAGTAAAAGATAAGGATGAAACGTGAGTCGAGGCAACCAAGCGATTTAAATACCAACTTTTTTAATTTTACGTTTTTTTATCCCGAAATTTTTCTTAACATATTGATGAGATTTTTCTGATGAAAATGACATCAAACAGGACATAATTTGAGCAACATTTACTTATTAACACGTTCACTGTCAATAAGTAAGTGTTGTTCAAATTATGTCGTGTTTGATGTCATTTTCATCAGAAAAATCTCATCGATATGCTAAGAAAAATTTCGGGATAAAAAAACGTAAAATTAAAAAAATTGGTATTTAAATCGCTTGGTTGCCTCGACTCACGTTTCATCCTTATCTTTTATTCGCTGTCCTTGTCTACGTTCGGCAAACTACAAAGGCGGGCGCGAGGCTCGAAAACGTAGTCCCTGACTCTACAAGTGTCAGGTTTAGGTTCCTTGCCGACTGACACTTGTGGAGACATTACTGTATTTGTGAAAATGATTAGAAACTTACTATTTTCGAGATATTTGTAATTTAATCGAACCACTTGAAAAACTTTCATCTCGATCAAATTTCATATTTAATTTGACAATTAACGCGGTTAATTACGAGAGTTGTGTAACGGTCTCATATTAGGCTACTTTACTCCGTAGAAAAACTCAATATCAATTATACATCAGTCGTTACAGTAGTACAGTATCTCGCATCAACTACCAGACTATCGTCCTTGCGAGATTAATTTGTCGCGAGCGCACAGACACTCGGTTCTCATTGGAGAAAGAGTCGAAACGCGAGTTCTAACATCGAATACAGGTACCGAAGATACTCACCGAGATTGTACACGTTAGCACCTTTGCCGCACGACTCCCTCACCTCCCGATTGTCCCATCCAATGGGGTACATCACCAGGCCGCCGCATATCATCACTGCTGTAACGAGACATAGAGCAGCGCACGGTTAACGGCAGCCACCTTCCGATAGTCGCGTGGGTTAATCCCTTGGCAGGATGACCGGGATGCCAGGAATTCCAGGGATTTCCGATGGTTTGTACCAGGGAATCGAGACGGTAATTCGAGGCTCGTTTCGGTTTACGCGAGTCGAGCCAATCGAGAGCCGCGGCGAACCGCGGGTTTCCCTCTTAATCTCTTTTCCTTATCGACTCCCTCGTTCCGACCTTCCCTCGAGGAAAATCAGACGAGCGGGATTTTCCAAAGGTTCGTCGGAATGCCCGGCATCTCGATGCACGCGGAAGATATTGCATGGAAATAGCTAACAACGATATTTCGCGCTATTACATAGGTGCCTTGTAGTGCGACCGTTTCCTTTTTTCTTTGTCTCGCCGGTTCTCTATCGAAAATTAATCAGCGTCACGAGGGGCGTGGAGTATTTGCGAACGAAACCGGCGAAACTGCAGACGCGGAAGGAAGTTCCAGTTGGATGAAATGAATAATAAGCAGTCGGTGTGCGCTTTCCCGCGAATTTGTTAATAAGAACGCGCGCGCGGGGAGTGAGGCTGTTACGGAGAGGGTATTTTAAAGGCGGAGGACGGGAAAATGGAACGTGTCAACGTTTGAAGGAAGAATGATATTCGAGTAATATCCGTTTTCTTTGTGGACAGTCCGTTGCCTGGCTGTTCCCCGTGAAACGTCGCGCCGCGTCTTTCCATTAGGTACTTCGCAAACAGTAGACGTTCCTATTAACGTCCTACCTCCCTTCAACTCTCTCGAACGTTTTCACACCGACCACCGTTACCGCCACTTTTTCCTTCCGTCGATTCACCCACGGACCGTTCTCTTCTCGAAACTTTGCAAAACCGTCCAATATTATTCCGCGTTCGAGCGATACCGCCCTGAAAAGATAATACCTCGGGATGAAACGTCCGCTTGAGAATTTGTCGGAAAAGTCTGGATCGAAGGTTCGAGACGCGCGAGCCTATTGTATCTATCGAAGAATCGTAAGGTGAAACGTGCATAGGGTAGAAGTTGCTCGGAGAATTACAGCGAATCAATTTGCCGCAGGATCTAGGAGGTCTGGTAGGTTTATCAGAGAGAAGCTGGCACAAAACCTATTGTCGAGTCTATTATACCAGCTATTCGAGAACTCGGTGTCGAACTTATTACGGAACTTACTTGTTAGTACGGACCGTGTTACGAAGAGCTCATTGTCGATTCCGGTGTACGAGGTGGTGCCTACACCGCGGAACTTTATCGCGAACGCAGCGCCTATTACCAGCTACGCTAATTACAGGTCACGTTCAGGCATGAATCTGTGGAGCGCGGTAGAGTTCGCCCGTTTGCCAATCCTCTTGGCTGGATTTTTCGGGGCAGAGCTGGGCTTCCCCGCGATCGCGGTTATTGCTTTCAGCTCTTCGCCAGACAGCCGAGAAGAGGGAGAAATAGAGAGAGAGAGAGAGGTTGGAAAAGTGGGTTCGCGCGGTGGTAAATGACCCAAAGAGGGTTCCAGTCTCGGCCGTATGTTATTAAAGCTTTACTTTACCTTTATTGCCGATCGATGAAGGCCTGCCTGTTCTTTGCTACTTGCTCCCGAAATTCATCGAGGCGAAAACGAAACTCGTTTAGCGTGGAATTCGCGCTCTCTCTCTCTCTCTCTCTCTCTCTTCGGGTTATCCTGTGTGTACCGGCGGCGAGAAACGGGAGCACGTCTGTGCACCTCGGTTTGCCTCGAAAGAATCCCTCGTGGGTTGCTCTGATACTCGTGGCAATAAAGTCCGCGGGAAAGAATGCCATTGTTCGTTGTGGTAGCGCTCGAGATTAAAAACCAGCATCGCGTTGACTACTCCGGCAAGTTTTACGATAATGAAAGGGGAACCATGCCGCGGCTGTGCAACTTGCTGGGAAACGTGTTACGCGCGGGAACCGTTCGAAACGATTGCGCAAGGAGAACGAGCCGCTTTTACTCGAACGAATAAATCTCGAATCGCAACGTTGGAAGAACAGAGAGGAAAAGAGAGCGAAAAGGATACTCACCAGCGAGAAGCTGCAAGGATCCGAGAAGCCTGGTGTGCTTGGGCGTCTTGAGTATGTGCGGGAGAAAGCTGGAGGCTGCAGCTAGCAGAGTGAGGGCGCCGATCACAGCGATCGCCACGCCGATTCCCATGGTGACTGTGCTCGCCTGCCACCAGGCGCTCGGTATGTCCCAGAAGCTGGAATCAAATACCGGCAGCATTGTACCGCGTCGCGCCGTTCCTCGTTAAACTATATTCTTGACAAAATCCCCGAGAAAATTGAATTTCAAGTTGGAAATTAACGGTCCCAGTTTGCGCCGCTGGAAGAACGGAACTTTGATTTAAAGCTAAACTGGATTTTCCCGCAGACCTCGCGTTCTGCTCGTTCATCTGACCCGAAGACCGCCAAGTTCCAAGCATGAAATGCTTTTAATTATTTCTCGCCGTTACGTTCGCGCAATTGCTCGCCCGCCGGACAGTTCTCGTTTTTCTGGTTCTTGCAGCGACGATAAGGTGAAGTTCGATAA